GTGCGTGCTCGTATAAAATTTACAGAAAACTTTCAGAACCGCGGTCATGAAAGCTCTCTTTGGTAACAAAACTGGCTCGTGAAAAGCGGCGACCGGTGTTCAAATTTTTGGGTGTTCGTAGTATCTCTTTTATATCCCAAAGCCCTAACCATGTTCTGAAAATGTAGCTCTATCTTTTTTAGACAAATACTAGCTCTTTCTCTGACCAAAGTACGGGCAGAACCTATGTACCTGACTTGCGAACACTTTAAGATATTTAATTTTAGTTAATCGGTTCTTAGTCTAACAACAGAGTAGTGTTAGGCAGAGAGAGCTTTCAGCCTGTGAATAAAAAAAGCTCTGCTCGTGGATAACGCAGGGCCAATAAACGTGTTACAATCGTTAAAAGTGACGACCTGAGTAAAACATTGAAAGCTGTTTAAGCTTTTATGCCAATAATAACCAAAATGTACCAAGATGCAGAAATTTTTAAGCTTTTTTTGTATTTCATATACATATGTATGTATGTATTTACCAGAGTTCGGCGCTTGATTAAGGTGCGTGAAGAGTTTTTTTAAATAGAGCAATTTTACTCTAGGCCCAACCATACAAAATCTGTAGAATGCTTTAAAAGCGTCTCTGAAACTGGCTAATGGTAGGCTCAGGAAACGTGCTGTTTCGACGTTAGAGGGAGAGTATTTTTGGCTGATCATTCGTATTTGCCTATCTCTACTCTCATTTCCATGATGCTTGTAATACACCCATGAAATTTACTCAAAGCTTTAAAATGCCTTTCTCGCGTAGATTTAGCTTGATCGCAACATTTATACAGATACGCCCAAGGAGAGCATTTACTCAGCGCGACTTTATAATTAGGGGATTCACAAGACGTGTTAACCGTCGTAAAATCTTAAGCTTAACACTTGTTTATGTAAAATAGCGGTTAAAATGGTTGGGGGGTTGGCTAATTATATATTCTTTATCAGTTTAAAAGAATTTCGGTTTAGTTAGAAATCCCCTAAAACCATTTTAATTAAAAAAGATGTTAACCTTAAGATTTTACGACGGTTAACACGTCTTGTGAATCCCCTAAATGTGTATATAAAGCTTTTAAAAGAGTATATTGTGGCATGTCCTTGTGCCGCGACTATTTCAATGCGATATTTGACTTGATGATGCTTTATAAACCGCAATGGGTACTGTTTTTTTTTCCAAACGCAGAGCTTTTTAGCTAGCTACTCCGCGGTTTCGTGATCGTGACAATTCGAGCTGTGCCAATGCCTATACCTATGAATGTGTAGAAGTATTATACTTGATAATTTAATTTCTCGTTTTTTTTTGCAGCCGCGCCACCGCAATATCTACACTAAATACGGTGAGACCTTTTCTTTCATAAATTTATTTAAATTCTATAACCTTTTCAACCAATTCTTACAATAGCGCAATGCCAATGAACTTCTTGCTTCCATATACTTCCTACCAGTTCCAAGTCTGGAAAAGTCTTTCGTTGCAATCGAATGCATAATCGCATAATCATAAAATGCCTAGCAATGATTCAATGTTTGTCTGTTTTTATGTATGTAGCAAGCTTTTCTTCGCACGAAGAATATAATGGAATAAATGTAACAAATCTGAATTTATAGACAGCTAGAGTGCTTGAATCGTTGCATGCAGGTACACAATTCATACATATGTATGTAAATCATTCCATATACACATATCTATGTGTGTATATATGTATATATGCATTTATACTTGAGAGCAATGTTGTATGCGGGTATGTACACATGTAGTTGCAGGTCTGTTCCCACTTGTATGCCGGCATAAAAGTAATTGAATTAAATTATTTATTTATTTATATTGCAATGGATGGGCAAGTAAAAGGCTAGACAAATAAGCATTTATATTTCAAAGTGCACATTTTTTTATAAACATGAAATAGTAGATCTGTACATACATATAAAAGTACTAATGTATGACTCATCTTTCACTAACCGACTTCTGTTTGCAAACATACTAGGGATGTTAATTTTTCAGCTTTTTCCAATCCCGAAATTATCGGTATGTCGTTATCATAATCCCGGGGTCCCGGGTTTAGTACCGGAATTTAGATATTCATTACTTTTCAACAACTCAAACCGAAAAAATTGCTTCTATATTGTTTGAGAAGCTCTCCTACCATAAAATAAATAATAAATAAATGGGTTTGAAACCTACTTTTTAAAGTTAAAGTGGCGTTTTTATTTTTTCTCTCTGACGACGGGATTTATTTTAAAGGCCTTTGTAATTTCAAAGATATGATTAATTCCAAAAATCATTTCAACAATTCAATGCAATGTAGAATAAAAATATGGGTACCAAAACCAAGAAAAAATTTCTATAGAATTAAAATTTTTTTGGATTCACAAGGACGAATAGGTAATTTTTTAAGCTGATAAAGTTAGAACGAAGAAATTCGAGGATGTTATTGAGTTTATGTAAGTCCTTAACATTTATTTTTTTCAAAAACAAATATTGCGAAATTTCAATAAAATGTTAAAAGGATATTTTCAATACTTACCAGTCCTTCTGCACCAAATGTTATATGTATGTATGTATGTATGAGCTAGACATTTATAAAAAAATATTAATTATTAAATAAAATAGAAATATAGCCAATACTGGGCAAGAAAAGGAGATTTTATTATTGCCATCAGTACCAATTACAAATCCTGAAAATCCCGGGATTATTATTATTTGTTTTTTTAATGTTTGAAACCTTAAAAAGGTCGGGATCGCGGGATTAACATTCCTAAAACATACATATACACATCAAATCATAGTAGCTATGTGCATATGTATATAAGCGCTTTTCTGTGTATGAAAGAAAGAAACATGGAGAAATTGGCCGCGAAACACAAAACTAATGTAGATAGACAGTAGGTATGGTCTTGATAATGGACATGCCATGAGCAATGCATTCACCGAGCAACATATTGCTGGCATGTAACTGCTTACTGCTTCAGGCATTCAATGTAATATGTGCAATGTTGCCTTGCACTATGTATTCGAATATATGTATGGACATATGTAGGTACATACTTTCATAGGCAAGCTCGCATCACTCATGCGTCACGTTTTGGTGTCATTGCCAGTATGTTAGCTAATATCGAATTTTCACACTACATATGCACAAATGTTTGTTCTTTTTTTGTCGACATTCTATGTAATATTTGCTATGATTTGTTGAAGGCCTTAGTACTTTCATGCAGACATACTTACATAAACATATAATGAGCATTTGACTCGCTAAGAAATTCATTGGGTTTGGGAATCTTGTCGAATGATCTGTGTCGTTCTTACGAGTCATCTAAAGCGACACCATTGCACCTGCTGTTTGAGTGTAGTGCCGTATCGAGGCAACGAATGAACAGCATAAACTCAATGTAGCCAAAGGAAGTACACTCCTTTCCTCTAAACGCTTTTTCAGACGTCATCTATTGCATCTATTGCCTATCGTATATGAGATCAGGCTAACAGAGGTCTTCTGTCGTCTCCTAGTCTCTTACGGTGAGTCTGTAGCAGTCGTCGTTGTCTTTTGACTCCAGAAACACAGCTCCTTTGTAGCGGGTGGTGAGAAAATCTACAGCTCTTCTTCTTCATTCTATTGTAGCTGTTGCCTTGAAATTGTTTCGCATTTGGCATTCAACAGTTCCTCTAGCTAAAGCCCTCCGATGGCTGGCTGCCTCCGGAGTGTTGCAAAGAGTTTCCTAAACTCTTTGCAAAGTGCGAAGAGTTTGGAGTTCCATCAGAAATTGATAGTTCTATGTATGTATATATGGATTCACGAGGGATCTGCTTTCTGGCCAGTTAGAACTCACCTAATCGAGCGATCAGTCAAGGGTTAAGTGTGAGTATAACGGGTAAATCGAGCTTAGAAATGATGTCATATAGACATAGTATTTTCCTTCTATTGAAAGCGGCCTTAATCTCGACAAAGTTATTAACATTTTCTGTTCGCAATTGATTTGATAAACTTTACATTGGCGTACTGTGTAAAAGATTTTCACGACTTTGCCGCAAAGTTAAAATATAGTATAATCCCATTACTCCTGCCACTGGCTTATTCGTCTCACATTAAATCTGAGTTGCCAATTACATGTCAAGAGTCCGATATTCCATAGTCCTACGAATTTCGTGAGAAAATTTTTCAAAGAGTATCTTAACCCATAAACTCTTACCTTAATGGGTATTTTTGACCCTTACTTTTCAGAAGTTAAAAAAAATACTAATTTGTGGCTAAATCAAATAATAAATCTCTAAGTCACTACACATACATAGATATATCTAACATATGCACATATGCACATATTTACTCACGCATTAGTATAAAATTACACGCAATCCACACTTTAATTAACGCTTTCTTACTTTTTGTACTCATTTACATACTACATACTACATACTTTGGCTTGACTTATGAATGACTCTCTCAATTCACATTTGCACGGCAGCTGCTCAGCCATCATTTTCATCTCTTCTTTACATATCCACTTTTATGCTTTAGTGCTTTCTTTTCACAGTCAGCTCTTATGCTTTCGCACAGATCGAAATTGTTGCTAGATGCGCTCGCGCTTTTCATCGTAGTTTCTGTCTCCATCTTCTCCAACTTCACCACCAGCGCTCGACTCCAACCTGAGCACAGCATTGCCAATGGAATACAAGTTTCTGCCATTTCTTTCATTTCAAACTATTCATCGCTTTCTGCAAGTACTTACATAAATACTTAACTACATACCTACATATTTATTTTATTTCCCAAGCTGCAAGTCGTTTGAACAGGTGCTGGCGCTTGAGCATAAGCGCTCGACTCCACTCTTTTTCGTCTAGTTTCTTTCTTCGCACGAAAAAGGAGGCGCTGAATCAAACGAATGGGGTGCGGGGGGAGAAGGCGGGGCATTGGGGTACAGCGACGAGACGATCATGTGCGCTTGTGCGTTTTTGGGCTATTGGCCTGCTTGTCGTTCGCTCGCTCCGTCAGTCCGTCGGTCGTTTGGTCGCTTTATTGGGCGGTCAATTGGTCTACCGCTTTAGCGCTCACTCATTCGCCTGTTCGCTTGCTTGTCCGCCGCTGCTGTTTTCGACTCTCACGTCTACGTTTCTCTGTTCGCATCTCTTTGTGGATCCACCGTCTGTCCGGCGCGGCGCGGTGTGGCGGTTCGTTTGAGGAGTCAGTGGAACGGTAATTGTTCACCATCTTCTGCGCGCACACTGTTTTTCGTACCTTGACATAAAAATCTTTCACTTCTTCGCCAGCGCTTTAGTTCAATTTCGAACGGCTTCATGTCTGGACACATTATTTTAACGACGGAGTTGGCTACGCGACGCGAGTGAACGGTGGAATCGGTGTAGGCAGCCAGAAGATAGTGTTCGTACGGAACACGGTGCGCAAAAAAAAAACTTGCTAAAGAGATTATTCAACGCGAAAACGTTTTGATTTTATTTTACTTTTTGTTTATTTCAAAATTTTTGTTTTCTGTCGCACTCGATTTGTTGCAAAGTCTGGAGCTTGAGGTTTCCACACCTGCGCAGTCGCTGACGCTTGACATTCAGCAGCGAGCAGACTAATCGAACGCTTCACTCGTCAGCACCGCTCGTACCGCGTATGTACGTCGTTGGCCGCGTTTGCATTATTCAATTCATAAAAAAAATACAGAAAGTGACCATCGGCAGCAGTAAAGTAATACTTTTCATTATCACTCATTGATATCATCGAAGTTGGCAGCGACTTTTTTCACATTGCCTTTTTATTTGCTATCAACATTTTTGCCACCGACGATGCCCAACAACAACATTTTTTGTGCGTTGGCTGTTCGCGTAACGCCTGAATTTCTGTGCGCGTGCGTGTGAGCGTTTGCATTGTTGACGTTGACCACTTTGTGCGAGAAAGTGAAATTAACGGAGAAATTTTCAGCATTCCAAAACGAAAAGAACTGTGTGTCTTCTTCGATATTCGAGTTAAAGAATCAGAAAAGTAAGGCGTAGACCAAGCAAATGAGAATTAAGACGGCTGATTCGCGCGAAACGTCAACTCGAAAACTGACGTGCTTTTTTGTTTTAAATAAAGAAAGTATTGATTGGTCTACATATTTCAGTATATCTGCATATTTTTTGTGAAATATTTCGAAACGAATATTAATTATCATCAATATATCATTAAAATGGTGAAATAAATGTTTGTTGTTTCTTAATGCCGATTTTCTCAATAGAAAACCGAAAGCTACACAAGGCCAGTGACCTAATTACAAAGTTTCTTACTTGTTTATCAAAGAGTTTTGGTTAACTTTAAAGTATGCAACAAAAGAAAAAACACAGCAGCCGAGATAAGCAAATATTTTGTGTAACATAATTTGCATAAAATTTGGTAATATTTAAAAAACGAGTGTTGGGATAAAAAGTGAGTGTACCAGCATTGTTTATTTATGTATAACTAATCATCTAACTTTACTAAGAAACTGAAATTGAATATGAAAAACTGCAATTCATTATTGAAAAATATTTATTAAAATACCAATATTAAAGTGAATGTAACTAAAAAGCTAAAACAGGCATTTTTGCGCCTCAAGGAAATCAGTTTCAAAGTATAATACAGTGAAAACTCGATATAACGAACCTTGATAAAACGAAAAGCGCACGAACAAAATTGTTGCTGAAGCCTGGGAAAACCCCACGTTGTTGAAAAATTTTGCATACAAAATTGCCCCACAGATATCCATAAAGTTTTTTTTTTGAGAATTCTGAATATTTTGATGGTAATAGTCCTGTTATAAAAAACGAAAGTGTACTTTAAACGATTTTTTCAGAAACTTTGTATTTTTCGTGTATAGGTTTTGAAATTCTATAAATATGACGAAACTATAGATATAATGAAGCATTTCTCCAACCCCTTCATATTCGTTATATCGAGCTTTCACTGTATTTATAATGGCTCATAATGAAAATTACGCAAATAAATGGGATCTAGAATTATTACGGTAATTCATCTAAACGCGTAAATGCCTCGTAACCATGTAAGCCTCGTAAACTTACTTAATTTTGTATGGAAAATCGGTTTATTTACGAGGTTTACGCGGCTACGAGGCATTTACGCGTTTCCAAGAATGCCCGTATTTTGGTTTTGTTGTGTTTTCAAAGTATAAAAATAAATTCAATTTTCTGTCACTTTCTTCTCTTCTTCTTTATTGGCGCTGTTACCGCCTAAGCGATTTTGGTCGGGTCCCAACAAAGCGGGCCAGCCGTTTCCCTTCTCTTCCAACGTGCACCAATTGGAAATGCCAAGTGAAGCCAAGTCCTTCACCACCAGGGCTTTCCAACGCAAAAGATGCCTTCCTCTGTTACCAGCATCGCGACCCGCGTTGAATACTTTCAACGCTTTTGTTCATTCGTGCGACATGATGAAGCTAGCGGAGCTTATATCGTTGTAAAGCTCATACAACTCATCGTGAATTTATCTGCGTTATTCGCTATCGCCAACGCGCAAAGACCCGTAAATCTTTCGCAAAATTTTTCTCTCGAAAGCTCTATGAGATGCCCATCATATGTTTTCATTGTCCATGCCTCCGCGCCATACGCCATCCCGGCTATGGTGAGTGACTTATAGAGTGGACGAGAGAGGACTTTACTTCTCAATTGCCTACTCAGTCCAAACTATTACTTGTTGGCAAGAGTGATTCTGCGTTGGATTTCAAAACGGACATTATTATTGGTGTTAATGTTGCTTCCTAAATAAATAAACCAAGGCGTCTACTTTTTCGAACTTGTAATTGTCAGAAGTGACGTGGGTGCCGAAACGCGTATGCTCTGACTTTTTGTCTGATGACAGGAGATACTTCGTTTTGTACTCGTTCACCAACAGACCAATGTATTTCTATCTAATTCCGAGAAGGCAGAACAGACGTAGCCCTAGTTTTTAGCGATGATGTCGATGTCTTCGGCATACGACAGGAGTTGTACGCTATTGTAAAGTATTGTGCCTGAGCGATTCGGTTTTCAGATTAAAGATATCACTCGAAAGTGAATCACCTTGTGTGAAACCTCGTTTGGTATCAAACGGCTCGTAGAGGTCCTTCCCAACTGTGATGGAGCTGGTGGTGTTGCTCACCGGCATTTTACAAAGCTGTATCAGTTTCGTGGAATACCAATTTCAGACATCACGGCGTATCGGAAACTCCTTTTAGTGTTGTCAAAAGTGGCTTTAAAGCCGACAAATAGATGATAAGTGCCGACCCTTTTCACGCGGGTGTACCTGATCTATGGTGGATTCGCCAGGTCTAAATCCACACTGATAAGGTCCAATCAGTTCGTTGACGCTAGGCTATGCTTAGAAGACTGATCCCGCGGTAGCTGGCGCATATGGGGTGGTCGCTTTTCTTGTGGACAGAGCACATTTAAGTTCCAGTCGTCGGGCATGCGTTCATCTGACCATCTTCTGCATAAGAGTTGATGTATGCCCCTTATCAACTCCTCGCCACCGTACTGGAATAGCTCAGCTGGCAGGCTGTCAGCTCCAGCAGCTTTGTTGCTTTGAACTGCGCAATTGCTATTCGTACCTCGTCATAGGCAGGCGGTGGAACATCGACTCCATCGGCATCGACTTGAGGAGGTTCGGGTTCGTCATCTCCACTACTTCAGTGCTGCTGCCATTCAATAGAGTGAAGAAAATGTCATTTTCATTTGTAATTAATAATAAAAAAATTATAATTTTTTTCTAACATCTTGAACAGAAAAAGACCCACAAATTTAATATTTGTTTTTAGATTATTATAAGACAGGATTAATAGTCTGTTGGGTATGAATTTTGCTTTAATTACTTTCTGAATTTTTTCCTTTCCCCCCTTAATGCTTGCTATAAATAATTTTAATTTTAAAATGTTTTATTTTCGGAACTCCATTTTCAGTTTCTGCCACGAATTCTTAATAATGTGAAGCCTGTTTGAATGGGGTAGAATTTAGGGGCATTCGCGTATTTATAATTTGGTAACTATCAAAAACTATCAGATCTTGCTGTTCGCGTACATAAAAATCGAGCAAAGTAGGGGAATTTGAGAGACCTAACTGACATTTAATTTTGGTGAGAAGCTGGTAGTTTCTGCGGGGAAAAATTTGGCCAGCAAGAAACAGCAGACCAATGTCATCTTATGATAAAATGAAATTTATTTTAATGAGTTTTAAATTCAAAATAAATTATTAGAACTTCAAATGGTTCGGAGGAAAGCAAATGATCGTATACTTAGTGTTGCTTAACAAATTCTTTTCATGTATTCCGGTTTATGCTTTTTTATCTCAACAAAATTTCGATAAGCTGTACTAAAAACTTGCCAGGTTTGGTTGGTTTTGCTTTCGCGTACTTTTGTAAACATTTCTCTTCATGACAGGGAACAGATAAAAGCTCATTCGGGCAAGTGAGAAGCAAATATTACTCGCTCAAAGTGGCTCTTAACAGCCCGAGAACCAACCAAATAAACACTAATTGGGCACCTGCGGACGAGCAAAAGAACATGCTTATTGTGCGTCCCGGTTTGAAGAATGCAAAAGTTGGCAACCGTGCATGCAATAGGTCTATTAAAAAAAACAAAATCTAAATCGAAATACACTGCGAGAATCCGGGTGAAATACGTTCATTAGTTCTGAGCATTTACAGTCGGATCTTAAAGTATGATATATCGATTGTTCTGCCTCTAGGAGGGATTTTTTTATTCCAAAGTTCATTGGATACTTACCCAGCAGACCCCAGTTCGTATCGCCCTTAAGTACCTCCATAATGTCAGGAAATTAAAGCTCACCAAAAATCATTAATCATTAATCATTTGCTAAGGAAGTATTTAGATTAATCCAGTAGAACTATTTAAAAAATATATAGTGCCGAATGTAGTTATCAGCGAAAAATGTAAAAAGGCGACCGCTTCATTCAGCAAAAAAAAAAACTAAATTTAGTTAACTACAAGTATGTTGCGTAGAGGTTATCGAAATTTTTCAAGGTTACAAAAGTACGAAGCCATGTGTCATTTATATACATAAGTATATGTAGATTAAAGTACGCACATTTATGTGCATTTATGTATCCAACCAATCAATTTCACTTAAATTCCACTAAATTTTCAATGAAACTTTCCCGCTCCCAGACTGATAGTTATGCGTAGGCATGATTCCGCAAATGAAATAACAACAAAGTATTACAAAGTATTGGCGACTAAATAAATGTTAAAGTTAGCACATATTTATTGTATTTGTTATTAAAATTTACACATCGAACGGAACGGAACTTGTGCATAAGTTTAATGTGTATGCAAAAAAAAAAAAATCAGCAAAAGGCTAAAAAAATTAAAACATAAAATAGTGGCAATAGCATCAGCGTATGTACCCTGCAGGGAAAGCTACTAGTTGTGAACTAGAATTCTACCAGCTTGCGTTTTAGCCCAACTAATTCACATTCTATCCTTTTTCAATTATAGCGACTGGTATTTTTAGCATTGCGATGTCCTACGAGATGTCAATTGTCAGTCTATGCATCTGCATCTACCAGTAGAAATACTAGTAGCATCATACCAGTGAGATAGTCTGCCAATACATCCCCCGTGAAAAGCATAAGTATGCCCTTTAGCTCGCGGCGCTCCAACAGTAGCAATGGCCGCAAGAGGAAAGCACTCACGTGATATGCCTGAGGTCCCAGGTTCAAGTCCTGACGTAGGAAAAATTTTTTATTTTCCTTTTTTTATTTATTTTCTTTTAATTAATTCTGTTTATTTAGGGTTGCTTTTGTAATTTTTAAATTTATTTCAAATTTTATTTTATTTTTTACTTTTTTTTTAAGTTTTTTTTTATGGCACAAGCATTTCTTCCCATACGCATGTTTTTCTGCATTGCAATTAGGTTTTTATACCCGAGCGCACTTGTGCACAAGGGTATATTAATTTTGTTCACATAACGGTTGTTTGTAACAGCCAAAACGAATCGAGATAGATATAGACAAATGTATACATAAATGATCAGGATGAAAAAAGAAATCGATTAAGCCATGTCTGTCTGTCCGTCCGTCTGTCCGTCTGTCCGTCTGTCCGTCTGTCCGTGTACACGATAACCCGAGCAAAAATTGAGATATCTTAACGAAATTTGGTATGTAGGTTTCCCTTAATCCAAGGTAGGTTGGTATTGAAAATGGGCGAAATCGGACTTTAACCACGCCCACTTCCCATATAACGGTAATTTCCAGAAATACGAAAACTGCGATATTTTAGTAACTACTAAAGATAATTCACTCAAAATTGATATTTGTAATAAGTTTTAGACGAAAAATAAGAATATTATAAATTTTTGGAAAATGGGCGTAGCCACGCCCACTTATGGTTATATGCGTATATCTTGGTAACCGCTGCACCAATTTCTTCCAAACTTGGCACA